TGGATTTATATAGCGGCAATATGATATTTTCTGTCTTATTATCTATCCCTTTCCTAAGAGTTCCTAACATTCTGTTAGCCTTTTTGATCCTTGCTGTGCACTGAGTGGACATTTTCAGAGAACTATCCATGATGATTCCAAGATCTCTTTCTTGGGTGGTAACAGCTAATTTAGACCCCATCATGTTGTACGTATAGGTGGGATTACATTTCCCAATGTGCATTACTTTGCACTTATCAACGTTGAATTTCATCTGCTATTTTGTTGTCCAGTCACCCAGTTTTGTGAGATCCCTTTGTAACTCTTCGCAGTCAGTGTTGGATGGAACTATCTTGAATAATTTTGTAGCATCTGCAAACTTTGCCACTTCACTGTTCACCCCCTTTCCAGAGCATTTATGAATATGTTGAACAGAACTGGTCCCAGTGAAGACCTTTGGGGGACCCTGCTATTTACCTCTGTCCATTGTGAAAACTGCCCATTTATTTGTCCCCTTTGTTTCCTATCTATGAACCAGTTACTGATCCATGAGGGGACCTTCCCTCTTAGTCCCTGGTTACCTTATCAAAGGTTATCTGAAAATCCACATACACTATATTGCCTGGGTCACCCTTCCCCACATGTTTGCTGACCCCCTCAAATGGTTGTAATACATTGGTGAGCCATGATTTCCCTTTACAAAAGCCGTGTTGACTCTTCCCCAACAAATTGTGTTCATCTCTGTGTCTGGTAATTCTGTTCTTTACTAAAGTTTCAACCAATTACCCTGGTACTGAAGTTAGGCTTAGTGGCCTGTAATCGCCAGGACTGCTATGGAGCCCTTTTTAAAAATCAGTGTTACATTAGCTCTCCTCCAGTGATCTGGTACCGAGGATGGTTTAAGCAGTGGGTTACATACCACAGTTAGGAGTTCTGCAGTTTCATATTTAAGCTCCTTCAGAACTCTTGGGTGAATCCCATCTGGTCCCGGGGCCATTACTTTTTAATTTATCAATTTGTTCCAAAACCTTCTCTATTGACATCTCAATTTGGGGCAGTTCCTCAGATTTGTCACCTAAAAAGCATGGCCCAGGTGAGGGAATCTCCCTCACATCCCCTGCAGTGAAGACTGATGCAGAGAATTCATTTAGCTTCTCTGCAACGGCCTTGTCTTCCTTGAGTGCTCCTTGAACACCTCTGTTGTCCAGTGGCCCCACTGATTGTTTGGCAGGCTTCCTGCTTCCGGTGGACTTAAAACTTTTTACTGTTAGTTGTCGCATCTATAGCAAGTTGCTTCTTAAATCCTTTTTTGGCCCATCTTGTTAGACTTTCACATTTTATTTGCCAAAGTTTATGCTCCTTACTTTTGCCTCTAGAAGTTTCCCTTACTCCGCTGTTTAGCCCTCCTGCCATCTTTGCGGAGGTGGGGGGTGCGTTTTGTCTGAGCCTCTAGGATGGCGTTTGTAAATATCTCCATGCTGCTTGGAAGCGTTTTACCCTTGGCGCTGCTCTTTTTAATTTCCATCTAACTACCATCCTCATTTTTCTAGTTTCCCTTTGTAAAGTTACGTATGAGTGTGGTGGGTTTTTTGGTATTTTTTCCCCTACAAGGCTGCTAAATTTAACCACGTTATGGTGGCTCTTACCAAGTGGCTCAGCTGTATTCACCCCTGAGGTCAGATTCTGCGTGCCACTGAGGACTAAATCAAGATTCCTCTTTCCCCTTGTGGGTTCCAGGACTAGCTGTTCCAAGAAGCTGTCATTTATGGTGTCTATAAATTTATCTCTGCATCCTGTCCTGGGTGACATGTACCCAGTCAATATGGGGAAAGTTGAAATCCCCCGTTATTATTGGGTTTTCTGTTATTTTAGCCTCCCTGATGTCCCCGAGCATTTCACAGTCATATGGTCGGTAGTATTTCCCTACTGCTGTACTCTCATTCTTCAAGCACGGAGATTCTATCCTATAGAACTGTTTGATTCGTTTAAGATTTTCACGTTATTTGACTTGGTGCTTTCTTTCCCATACAGTGCTACTCCCCCACCAGAACGACCGGCTCTCTCATTCCTGTATAGTTCGTACCCTGGTATTTCTGTGTCCCATTGATTATCCTCATTCCATTGAGTTTCTGTGCTGCCTGTTACATCAATATCCTCCTTTAATGCCAGGCACTCAGGTTCACCCAGCTTAGTATTTAGATGTGTAGCATCTGTGTATAAGCACTTGTGCATGTTGTCTATACGCAGTTGCTTGCCTCCATGTGTTGTGTTTAAATGGGATGCTTACATCTGACTGTTCCTCACCTGTACTTTACCAACTTCTTTCCTAGCCTCCATATTAGGATATAGGTTTCCCCCCGAGGCAGCTGCATCTCAGTGTTGGGTGGGGGAACCCTGTATTAATATCTGGTCCACCCCCTTCCCCAGAAGCAGCTGCATCTCAGCACCGGGCATGGGCTCTCTCTGCAAAGCGTTGACCTCCTGGAGTGTCTCTTTGTGGTTCCAGGCTCAGCCAGGGACCCTCCCAGGAGCAGAAGGGAAGCGGGCAGGGTGCCATGGAGGAGCAGGGCGCGGGACTGGCCAAGCGGCTGGGCACACTGCTCTCCGGCCTGCTGGAATGCATGTGCTTTGCCGGCGTCATCTTCGGCTGGGCCTCGTTGGTGTACGTGCTCAAGGACATGCACTACTTCGAGGAGCTGTGTGTGCCGGCGGCTAACGGCACGGGCAATGGCACGCAGGGCCCAGGTACGGCAGGGGGCAGCACTAGAGTGGCAGTGGGGAGCGCTGCAGGGGAGTGGGCGATGCTGGAGGGAGAAGGAGCAGCGAGGCAGGGGCCGGGGGGATAGGGGTATGTCCCCATCTCAGGTGCTGCACCAGGGCCAGAAGGCTGATGGGGATATGCAAATAATGCAACACCCTTATTTGCATATTCAGAACTATGCATTGTCTCATTTGCATATCCTTAAATTAAGGTTCCTTCCCTTTCTGGTTCCCGACCTTGAGCTCTCCCCTCCCGGCCCAGTGCCACCCATTTCCCCTAGACACCCTCTTGGGCCGTGGGTGGGGTGAGGAGAGGGTATAGGGGCTGGGGGCCGTGTGTATGGGAGGGGATGGGGTGTCAGGGCAGGGGGTCTGTGTCTGGGGGTGAATCCGTGTTGGGGTCCCGTATGGGTGTTGGGATCTAGGTGGGGGGGTCTGTGGGGGTGTCGGAGTCCGTGAGGGGCACGTGGGAGATGTGGGGGTGGATTGGTCAGTTCAGTGTCTCAGGCCATGCTCTCCCCAGACTGCCGGGCGCAGGATGAGCAGCTGTCACTCGTCTTCACCGTCGGCTCCTTCATGAACAACTTCATGACCTTCCCCACCGGCTACATCTTTGACCGCTTTGGCACCGTGCCAGCCCGCTTGCTGGCCATGTGAGTGTGGGGGCGGGAGGTCCCAGGGATCCACCCCGTGGGCCCCTCCCGCTGAGCCCCTGCCCCACCCCCACTGCGACCCTTACCCCCCTCCACTGAGACCCTCCTCTTGGATCTCTCCCCTGAACTGCATCCCCTCCGCGACCCCTCCCCTAGGATCCCTGGGGACCCGGGGGTGGGGGATGAGACGCTCTCCCCCCTGGAGCCAGGCCTCATCTCCATGGGTCTGGCTAGTGTGTGTGTGTGGGATAAACCCCATGGAGTCGCGGGGAGGGGAGAAGGTCCCCCGGGACAGGCTCCCCCATCCCTCCCCACTCTTTCTTTCTTTGGTTGTTTCTCTTCCTCACTCTCCCCGCAATGCGGTGAAAATCAGGGACGCCCACCAGGGACCACGCCTGGCCCGAGTTATCCAGTGAGCCCATCTGCCTCCCCCTGGCACCGCCCTGCCTGGGCCCACGGATCAGTGCCTGTAGCAGCCAGCCCCTCAGACCACACCCCCCAGCACACCCCCCCCCCTCCCCCAGGCCCACCCCCCCCCGCCCCCCCCCCCCCCCCCAAAGCTGGGACCGGTGGTTGCCAGCTGTCCCTTGTCCTTAGGGCTCCAGGGCACGTTTCTCCTTGGCTGAGTTAGTCTCTGTTAACTGGCCAGGGACTAAGTCAGCAGATCCTGTTTGCGGCTGGGCCCGGGGGCGCTGGGGCAGCTGGCGCCGGGCTAACTCCCCTGCACCCCAGAGCGTGACCAGCAGGCTACTGCTGCGGTTGCACAAGCGCCCGGAAGGAAGTGCTCACTGCTTGCTTCCCACAAGCTGTTCCCTCCCCCGTCCTGGCTGCTTCCAGGGCTCTGCTGGGAGCTCGGCAGCTCCAGTACCTCCCGCTCAGCTGAGCTCCCTCACCAGGACGCCGTGGGCCAGCCCCACAGCCCATGGCAGTCAAAGCAAAGGCCTGATGCCTGGGCTGGGGAGGGGGCTCGGGCTATGGGCTGGGGGATACTGCCACTAACTGGACCCACTGGCCTCCACGCAAAAGGCTCCAACTGCCACCTGCCCCCACCAGGGCTCATCCACTCCCCCTGTGCTTGGCAGCGTTCAGCCAGCCCCTTCCTCAGGATCCGGGCCCAGCCACAGGGCTAAGGTTAGCCACCCACTGCTTGGGCCTCTGACATGTGCCTTTGCCCACCCGAGGTCTTGATCCGCGCCGAGAGGTGAAAGAATGCAGGCAGCTATCTGTCTATCCATCTCTCTATTGACAAACACCCCATCCATACATCCATCGACATACCCTCCATCAATCTATCTACATACACCCCATCCCTCCCTCCCTCCATCCACATACATCCCATCCATCCACATACACCCAATCCATCCATCCATCCATCAACGTACCCTCCATTGATTGATCGATCGATCTACATACACCCCATCCATCCATCCATCCATCCATCCATCCATCCATCCACATACACCCCATCCATCCATCCATCCATCCATCCATCCATCAACGTACCCTCCATCGATTGATCGATCGATCTACATACACCCCATCCATCCATCCATCCATCCATCCATCCATCCATCCATCCATCCACCCATATACACCCCAGCCATCCATCTATCCATCCATCTGCATACACCCAATCCATCCATCTATTGACATACACCCCACCCATCCATCCATCCATCCATCCATCCATCCACCCATATACACCCCAGCTATCCATCCATCCATCCACATACACCCAATCCATCCATCCATCCATCCATCGACATAGCCTCCATTGATCGATCGATCTACATACACCCCATCTATCCATCCATCTGTCTACATGCACTCCATCCATCTATCTATCCCATCCAGGAAGGGCACTAACTGAGGGCAGGTCTGCCCAGGTGTATAAACCAGTCAGGCTATACCATTCTAATCCTGGTGCTGTCTTTAGACTGGGGTAACTCCCTGGGGGACCCGGTTCTTCACTCTTTAGAGCGGTGCCGTACTGGGGTCAGTCTCCCAGTGCAGACAAGCTGGCTGGCCCGAGCCCCAGTGTCCAGGGCCATGTTGTGCCCATTTGTGCCCTGGCTGCCAACACCCACCAGTAGCCCCCTGCCCCCAACCCAGCTCTGCCCCAGCCGCCATGCAGTGTCGCCTGCTCCATCCCTTCCGCCAGCGTGCCTTGCCGTGCGCCCCCAACCCGCTCTTACCGCTCCCAGCAATCCCTGGGGTGCAACCAGTGTTTGCGGCATCCAGTCTGCAGCTCCTGGTAGGCTTGGGCCCTCCTCCCAGCCCTGTCTCCTGCCCTCCACCACCTTGACAGTGGGGTTACATCCTGCCTCTGTCCCCC